GGTCATATTTCCCGACAAACAAAAGCTGAGGGATTTTATCAATACGAGATCTGTCCTATAAGACAGATGATCTTCTTTGTCTCTTAAAGTTTTTGTCTTGAAATCTATTTTTTCTAATATAGGTGTAGCTACTCTGTTCTTTTTTGGTTTCCATTGGCATGGAATATCTTTTTTCCACCCTTTTATTTTCAGTCTATGTGTGTCTTTACAGGATAAATGTGTTTTTTGTAGGCAAGAGTCTAATTATTTTATCCATTGAGCTACTGTATGTCTTTTGATTGGAGAGTTTTTTCCATTTATATTCAATGTTATTATTGATAAGTAATGATTTACCCCCTCCCATTTTATTATTTGTTTTCTAATTGTTTTATGGTCTTGTCTTCCTTCTTTTCTTTCTGTCTTTTTAGTGAAGTAGATTTTCTCTAGTGGTATGATTTTAATTTCTTACTTTTTAGTTTTTGTGTATCCATTGTATCTTTTTTGATTTGAGGTTATTAAGAGGTTTGCAAATTCTCTTTTATAACCCATTATTGTAAACTGATGCCAACTTATGACTGATAGCATAAACAAACAAGGAAAAAGAAAACTAATAAAAACTTTACACCATAATTTTTTCTGCCCACTTTTCAGTTTTTTGTTGTTTCCATTTATGTCTTATAGTACTCTCTATGTCTTTAAAAGTTGTTGGAGTTATTATTTTTTATTGGTTAATTGTTTAGTCTTTCTACTTAAGAGAAGTTGACACATTACAGTTATGGTGTTATAATATTCTTTGTTTTTCCGTGTACTTGCTATTACCAGTGAATTTTATATCTTCAGGTGATTTATTAGTGCTCATTACTGTTCTTCTATTTCTGAATGAAGTACTCTCTTTAGCATATCTTGTAAGATAGATCTGCTATTGATGAAATCTCTCAGCTTTTGTTCGTCTTGGAAAGTCTTTATTTTTCCTTCATGTTTGAAGGACATTTTCACCAGATATACTATTCTAGGGTAAGAGTTTTTTTCTCCTTCAGCACTTTATGTCATGCTGCTCTCTCTTGGCCTGTAAGGTTTCCACTGAAAAGTCTGCTATCAGACATATTTGAGCTCCTTTTTATGTTACTTGTCTCTTTTCCCCTTGTTGCTTTTAGGATCCTTTTTTTTTTATCCTTGATCTTTAGGAATATGATTATTAAATGCCTTTAGATATTCTTGTTTGGGTTAAATGTCTCTGGTGTTCTATAACCTTCTTGTACTTCAAAGTTGATATCGTTGATACTATCCCATTGAATAAGCTTGCTACCCCTATCTCTTTCTCTACCTCCTCTTTAAGGCCAATAACTCTTATATTTGCCCTTTGAGACTATTTTCTAGATCCTGTAGGCATGCTTCGTTGTTTTTCATTCTTTTCTCTTTTGTCTCCTCTAAATGTGTATTTTCAAATAGCCTGTCTTCAAGCTTATCAATTCTTCTGCTTGATCGATTCTGTCATTATAAGGTTCTGATGCATTCTTCTGCATGTCACTTGCATTTTTCAACTCCAGAGTTTCTGCTTGATTTTTAAAATTATTTCAATGTCTTTGTTAAATTTATATGATAGAATTCTGAATTCCTTTTCTATATTATATTGAATTTCTTTGAGTTTTCTCAAAAGAGCTATTTTGATTTCTCTGTCTCATATGTCACATACCTCTGTTTCTCCAAGAGTAGTCTCTGATGCCTTATTTAGTTCATTTTGGAAGGTCATATTTTCTTGAATGGTCCTGATGCTTGTGAATGTTCATCTGTTTCTGGGCATTGAAGAGTTAAGTAGTTAGTGTAGTGTTCTTAGTCTGGGCTTGTTTGTACTTGCCCTTCTTGGGAAGGCTTTCCAGATATTTGAAAGGACTTGAGTGTTTTGATCCAAGCCATATCTGCATTAGAGAGCATCCCATACCCAGTAATTCTGTGGTTCTTGCAGATCTGTAGTAGTACCACCTTGACAGTCTTGAATAAGATCTGGAAGACTTCTCTGGATTACTAGGCAGAGACTCTTGTATTCTTTCCTTACTTTCTCCTTTTACTTTTTAAGTCCACTTTTACTTTTCCCTCTACTTTTCTGAAGCAGAAGGAGTCTCTCCCCAGAGCTACCACAGCTGGGAATGTGTTGAGTCATACCTGAGGCCCACAAAATTTCATCTAAGGCCCAATGAGTACTATCTGGGTTTTGCTTCTGGTTATTTAGGGTCCAAGGGTTCTTTAGTCAGCATGTGATGGGTCCTGCCAACACTGGGTTCTTCCATTCAAGGCAGTGGGTTCCCTTCTGGCCCCAGGTGTGTGTAGAAATGTCTGGGAGCTAGGGTCTGGAAAAGGGGCCTTAGGACTCTGATGAGTGCCCTAGGGTACTGTGGCTGAGCTGGTATACAAGATGCAAGACAAAGTCCTCTTTACTCTTGCCCCCTCTTTTCCTCAAGCAGAAGGAAGGGGTCTCTTTTGGAGCCTTGAGGTGTGCTGTATGGGGTGGTGCAAGGACTCCCATAGCCACAGTAGGTTGCATGCCTCCCAAGTTCACTGGCTCTGAGCCCAGTTCAACACTAGGACTAATGTAAGAGTTGCAGTCCTTGTGGCTTAGAGTGCTCTTCAAGTTTATTTAGGGACCCAGAGCACTTTAACCTGCCGTGTCAAGGCTTAGAACTGGGATGTGTGATTCCCCTCTAGCTAGGGCTGGTTTAAATGTTTCCTGTGTGGGTTGTCCTTAGCTGAGTTCAGCCTGATTTTGCTTTCTTCTGTGTGGACAGGGTAGCATGGGATTCAATGCAGTGTCTCACAACTACTGCACTCTCTCTTTCTCAAGTACACATATTCCAGTATCTCTTTTTTGGAAAAATTTTTGCTCATATTTTCTTACCCATTTTTTACTTGGGTTATTTGTTTTCTTGTTATTTAGTTGTTTGAGTTACTTCTATATTTTGAATATCAGCCCCTTATCAGATTTATGGTTTGCCCTTGTTTTTACCCAATCCGTGGGTTGTCCCCTCACTGTGTTGTTTCCATTTCTTTGCAGAAGCTTTTTAGTTTGGTGCAATTCCATTTGTCTATGTTAGCATTTGTTGCTTGTGCCTTTAGAGTCTGATCCAAGAAATCATTGCCTGGACAAATGTCATGGAGCTTTTCACCTATGTTTTCTTGTAGTAGTTTTATGGTTTCTGGTCTTACATTTAAATCTTTATTCACTTTGTGTTGATTTTTGTACACACTATAAGATAGGGTCCAATTTCCTTCTGTATGAGGATATCCAGTTTTTCCAACACCATTTACTGAATAGAGTATCCTTTCCCCGTTGAGTGTTCTTGGCACCTTTCTCAAAAAATCAATTAACTCTAAGTACTTGGGCTTATGTCTGGATTTTCTATTCTGTGCCATTGGTTGATTGGTCTGTTTTTATGCTAGTACTATGCTGTTGTGATTATAATAACTTCATAATATATTTTGAAGTCAGAGAGTGTGATACCTTCATGTTTGTTCCTTTTGCTAAAGCTTGCTTTGACTATTCAGGGTGTTTTGTCATTTCATATGAATTTTATGATTATCTTCTATTTCTGTGAACAATGACCTTGGAATTTTGATAGGAATTGCATTGAACCCAGAGAACGCTTTGGGAAGTATGGACATTTTAACAAGATTAGTTCTTCTAATCCATGAACATGGACTATTTTTTCATTTATTTGTGTCTTCAGTTTGTTTTACCAGTGTTTTATGGTTTTTAGTGTAGCAGTTATTCACTTCCTTTACTAAATTTATTCCTAAACTTTTCTTTATTTAATACTATTGTAAATGGGATTGTTTTTGAAATTTTTTTCAAATAGTTCATTGTTAGTATATAGAAATGCGACTGATAGAGGCTAAACATTACTCTGATGTTCTTGTTTTTGCCGCCTCTGTTATTTTTGGTTTTGCCTAAAGACTTAAATATCATCTGAGAAGCACAATTCTTTTAGTCATATTTCCGTAGTTACATATGAGCCCAGTTGATACGGTGGTAAGGTGTCATGGGTGGGGAAGTCTTCTATAAGATTATGTCTCTTTTAGTGAGCTGTGCCCCTGGCCTGTGACTTACTTAAGTTCTTCTCAGGATTTTTTTTTCCCCTCTTGGGAGAGACTAGAAGGCAAATTGGGTCTGGAATTTGGTATTTCCCTTCACTTCGTTCGCTTAGGTTCTGATAAAACTGCAGGAGGTTATGATCTGGTAAAAACAGTTTCTCTTGAGGGAAGACCTTTTTAAGAAGAAGAGAAGGGTCTGTGAATATTTTTAAATGACTACTTATCTTTCCCCACTGCTGGAAGCATGGGGGGATTTTTCACCATCAAAACTTGATAGGACTCCTGTAGGTAAAATTCACAAAAGCGTGGGAGCCCCTTTTGGACTGGGTGCCATTGGAGTTTTTACCGCTCAAACCCGAACATATTAAGCCTTAGCAATTTGTAAATTACAGGTTAGGTTATCCTATCCCAGTGCTGGTTCCCAAGGAGTTTTCTATTCCTGTGCTTCTGTTACAATAAGGGATTGCATTGGGAGTTATACCTGATGTAAATGACGAGTTGATGGGTGCAGCACACCCACATGGCACAAGTATACATATGTAACAAACCTGCACGTTATGCACATGTACCCTACAACTTAAAGTATAATAATAATAAATAAATTAAAAAAAAAAAAAGATTTGGTTCTCTCTATCTCCTCACCTCTGGGGACAGCCATTTACCCTATGACCCCAGTTATCTGATGAATCTAAGAAGAGTTGATTTTGTTTGTTCAGTGTTTTCTTGTTGTGCGAATTGGATAGATTACTTTCTTATTCCTTATATGGTAGAGCAGAATGCAGTCATGTTTTTGAAACATCAAAGATTTGCTTCTTCTAAAGTTTTGATCTCTTAAAAACTACTTAGGGTAATATACTTTGTTTTTCTTTTAAAAGAGGGAAAATGTAAGATTTTTTTTGATGATTAACTTTTGGTTTTTGTTTACTTTTCTCAAATAGATCCTAAATGCCCAGGAGATGTTGATTTTCATAATAGTGACTGGGACATTAAGACAATCACCAGTTCCTTGAAATTCTACCTCAGGTATGCCTGATTTGAATTGGTAGTTTGCTTTTCATAGCTGGTGAAATTTCTCTGGGTGTTGAGTGGAGTTAATGTGGTCTCAGTTCCAGGAGGCTGGATAGAATTGCTTAAGAAAAAACATGTGAAGATGATTTCTGGCCAAGAATGTGCAAAGACTGTTTTTTAAATCTGAGAGTTTAAAGCAAGAGAAGCATAAAAATAATAGAATTGTTATTGAAAAAAGGCTAAAAAGATTATGTTCAAAAATCATGCACTTGAAATAACTGAATATGTTTTGCTCTTCACAGATAGAGTGATGTCATGATGGATTCACTAGTAGAATCAGGAGCTGGGACTATTCAGGGTGGCTAACATGTTTTAGAGGATAATACCCATTTTGAAACATCAAATTGCATTGGGGCAAAAATGGTCTATATATGTGATGTGCTACGTATCATGTATTAATCCAGATAATGGAAATAAAAACCAAGAAAATACAACTGTAATAATGTTGGAGCTAAATGAACTGTCAGCAGTATGGAAAGAAGTTAGCTCACCAACAAAATTTGGGCATGTGCAATATTGATGAATATATTATTCAGTTTATTGGCATAAATTTATATTATGCAAAAGGTGTTTGAGACATATATATTTTTAAACACATTGATTTCTTACCACTCTTTATGTCTCATAGTATGTATCATGCTTTATGTGCGAAAGCCTCTTCTTTTCAATGATTGTGTTCTTGAGCCATTAAGATTGATACATAAGCTCTGGGAAATCTCACTAATCCAAAATAGATTGGGTTTCAGATATTACTGTTAAATGTTTTGCTACTGTAGCATCATCTTAGAGCTTTCCATAAACTTGAATGTTCTTTCCAGGAATATTTCTCCTGCATTTGCTGATGAAGAAAATAACTGTTATTGGAGGGTTTATTCTGTACTAGGCTGCAGCTAGTTGTTTACACTGATAGTGTCATTGTTTTCTTCTCCCATTAACCGAGTGTACTAGGTGGTACTTGACTCACTTTGCAGATGGGGAAACCAAGGTGCACCACTTTCTCCATTAAGTATTAGCCATGGTCCCAGCTTGTATTTTTTAAATCTAAGTGTCTCTGACTTATAAGGCCCCTGGCACTGGGGCATCTTCTTCTCCTGCCCCCTATCCCAGGAGCTTTGGCCTTCTTTGAATGGCTTGGTAATTCAGTAAAGACAGAGAGCAATCTGTTATGAACACTTTAAGAAGGCTTGTTGTGATGAGAATAGTGGGAATAAGTGATTCTGTATCTGTAGCTTCCTTCAAAGGAGTCTCAACATTTTCTTAGATTTGTAAGGCCTTCCCCACATTGCATTATTCCCAGCTCATCCTATAATAGGCAGTGTGGCCCTTTTCAAAGATGAGAGGGTCCAACCTGAAGTGTGAGTGGGCAGCACCCCCAGTAAGTGATATTTGTTCTTGAGACTCATCCATGGTTCTGTAATATACACCAGCCAGTAAATACCCTTTAGAGTTCTCAAAGATAGCTGTGTTCCAGGGCAGGTCTCCACCCTCTGTTCTAGGTAACTAAATCACCCCTTATCTCTAACCTTTCAAGAGAAGTCCTCTAGAAATCATCCCTTCTCTCTCCTCTATTTTTATCCTCTCTCATTCAACTGGCTCTTTTTCCCAGCATGTAATTATGCTCCAGCCACATACATCTTTAAATCACTAAATGATTCAGTAAAAATATCCTGACTGCTTACTCTGTGCCAAGTGTGATGTTAGGCACTAGGCAGTTGTGTATAGATATGGTCTCTGACCTTAAAGAACTTATTCTAGTAAAGGGGACAGTCAGAAGACAAATAATCATACAAATGTAATAAACTCTAATAAGTACTCTGAAGGAAAGTTATAATGTGCTATGAAGGCATTTAATAGGAAGATGTCACCCATTTTGGTTTAAACTGAGGTTTGAACTGTAAGTTGGAATCAACTAAGTGGGAGTTGGGCTCCAGACAGAATATGCGAAGACTTGAGGCGGGAGGGAGGAAGGCCCCTTCAAGAAACTACATGAATCAGTATAGGGGGAGTATTGAGTGTAGAGAGGGAGGGAGAGGTATGTAAGGGCCATATCATTCAGGGCTTTAAAGGATCTTTTAAAAATTGGGGTCTAAATTTATCTTAAAAGTAATGGGAATATATTGAAAGATTTTAAACAAGAGGTGCATACTGAGATTTGTATTTTGAAAAAAAAAAGTATGGCGATTAGATTGCAGTGATATAAAATGGGCAGAGGTGTGTAAATCAGCAGGCTATGGCTGTCTTCCAGGCAAGAGATGATGCTCATGCTTGGACTAGGGAGTATCAGTAGATATTCCTAGAAGTAAGCATATTCAAGAGATTTGGGAAGTAAAATTGATGAGTTGGATATGAGGATTAGGGATAGGGAGACAAAAAGGTGACTTCCATGTTTCTGGCCCATACAACCAAATGATGGTCATTCATTTACTGATTTGAGAAACACAAGAAGACTAAGTTTGAGGGAGGCAATAAGTTGGAATTTGGTTATATCAAATTTGGGTACCTTTGAAGAAATCAGGGCACAATATTAAGCAGGCAATTGAATACATAGGTCTGAAACTCAGTGATGAGCTCATGGCTTGAACTAAAATTTGGTGATCATTAACCATACAGATGATAGTTAGAGCCAGGAACTTAAACAAGATTGCCTAATGAGATACTTTACCCCTTCTGAGTGAGGACTAAGCTCTGATTTTTTTTTTATCTTGCCCAAATTCCTTTCTAAGGGGTTTGGGGAGTCGTGCCCTCCAAGCCATAAATTCTCATCAGATCGATTTTATTTAACCCTGTATATCATGACTTACTTTCCATCTGACTCTGGCATAACACAGGAAAAAAATGAAAATGTTTTACCCCAAAATACATTTTCTTGCCATACCTTGAAATTGCCCTGCAAAGTCTCTTGTGGGAAAAATCCACATTCTATAGAGAATCCCCTTCCCCCATTGTTTTCCTTCATTTCTTTCCAGATCCAGTAGATAATCAACTAAGAGCCAGGTGCCCTTTTAGGTCTAATAAAAAACATTTTAAAACCTGCTCTCTCTAAAGTCTGGTATCTGAGAGATTCCTCTGCACAATAAAACTTGGTCTCCACAGTCCTTTGTCTTAACCTGAACATTCCTTTCCACTGATCTCAGATCGTCAGATAAACTCAACGAATTGTCAACCAGAAAATGTTTAAATTTCCCAACCAGAAAATTTTAAATTCCTCAAAGTGGGAAGCCCCCCATTTTGAGTTGTCCTGCCTTTCTGAACCAAACCAGTGTATTTCTTAAATGTATTTGATTGATGTCTCAGGCCTCCCTAAAAACATATAAAACCAAGCTGTACCCCGACCACCTTGGGCACAAGTTCTCAGGACCTCCTGAGGGCTATGTCACAGGCCATAGTCACTCATATTTGGCTCAGAATAAATCTCTTAAAATATTGTACACAGTTTCACTCTTTTTGTTGACATCAGCCAAGCTTCTGTGTCAAGTAATATACACTCCCAGTCTGTACTTCTTAACTCCCCAGTTCCTTCTTAACTCGTTGTAATCTAACTCTTACCCCCTCTGCTCCAGTGAAGCTGCTTTTGCCAGGGTCACCAGGGATATCCTCAATGCTGCACACAAAGCACAGTTGTCAGTCTTTACCTTACTTGACCTTTTTGTAACATTTGAAGTTGTTAACAAGCCTTCCTGGATACTTTCTTCTGTTTTGGATTCTGCTGAATCACTTGCTTTTTGTTTTTCTCTAACCTCTGGTCATTTTTGTCGATGTCCTTTATGGGCTTTCTACTTGGTATTTTCCAGGGCTCTCTACTTATTTTACTATAGTAGAACGACTGAAAACTGAAATATCTACAGGGACCAGGAAATAAAACTGAGTGAAGTAGACTATTTTCGTATTAAACACTTTGCACATTGAACCTTTATTTGCATGACAAGCCCTTTGTTTACATACAAACAGCAGTGTTGTTTACTTCTACAAAGAACCAATAGAGCCAGATCTTTGCATTTTTCGACAGAGACAGGGGATATGGATTTGTATATGAAATATCTCATTTTAAAATATTTTGATAATTGATTCAATTCCATTTCACTATTATACACTGTGCTGGGCAAAGAAGAAATATCAGAAGGCCTCATGTAGCTGTTTGACTGCCAGTTTGCCAGCTCCCCTGGAGAAGTGGCATCTGTTCTTGTGGTTTCGTCATCTGTTCTCTAGGTTCCTGATTTTCACATCTGCTTCTCTAATCTAGCAGAGCCCTGCATCCAACTTCTTAGTAGACATCTCCTTCCTGAGGCTTCCCTGACTTAGCATCTCTACTTCCCTCTTAATCAACTCTTTTTCTCTTCATTCACCCAAACCAAATTGCTCCCTCGCCATCATACCCAATCAAAGAAGGAGTTCTTTCTTTAATATTTTTCAAAACACTCTCCTCACCTATTCTTTCTATGCTTTGTCACCCAGGCTGGAATGCAGTGTTGTGATCGTGACTCATTGCAGCCTTGCCCTCCCACCACACCATTCTCTCTCTCAGGCTCAAGCAGTCCTCCCATCTCAGCCCCTTGAGTAGTCTGGACTACGGGCACGCACCACCATGCCCAGTTACTGTTTTTATGTTATTTTTAAGAGGTAGGGGTCTCATTAAGTTCTCCAGACTGGTCTCGAACTCTTGGGCTTAAGTGATCCTCCTGCCTTGGCCTCCCGAAATGCTGGGATTACAGATGTCAGCCACCACGACTAGCCCCTCTGTTTGTCTTTTATTATCTTTTGCTTGGATTACTACAGTAACAACAGTGGCAGGCAGTATAGTATAGTAATTAAGAGCATGGACTCAGGAGACAGACTTCCTGCTTCTACCACTTATTAGCTGTGTAATTTTGGATGAGTTTTTAACTTCTCTAGGCCTCAGTTTCCTCATCTATAAACTGGAAATGGTACCTACCTCACAGAGTTGATATGAGGTTTAAATGGGTTAATATATGTAAATCACTTAGAGCAGTAGAGAGTTTGCTTTTCTTATAATTATTAGTTGATTATTTACTTCCTCAGAGCCACCTACCATGTACCTTTATTTTATCATCATACTTGTCCCACTGCATTGCAAGTTTTGTGTATGGTGCTCTTTTCTACTAAACTATTATCTCCTTGGAAGTTTGGACTGTTTCTTTTCATCTCTGGATCCCCAATACCTGGCACAATGCCAGGTACAAGTAGATGCTCAATGTGTTTTGACTAAATGAGTGAACCCATTTGAGCCTGAGTTTCCTCCTCCCATAAATGGGGATTTGGATAACTGCTCCGCCTCACAGGATTATTGGAAGAATCAATTGGGAGGACAATTGCAAAAGCACTTTGGAAGTTCTAAGGATCTATCAAATTGTAAGGGATTCATGGTAGCATTCAGAATGGGTCCCCTCTGGAATTTTGTGGGACTGATTTGTGCCTCTTTTCACTTTTGTGAGCTAGTTGGAGACCTTGCTAGAGGGCTCAGCCCATGCTTTTGCAGGTCTTTTGTTGAATTACTAGCAACTTGGACTCCCCTGAGGAAGCTTCAGGTGAAGAGAAGAATGTATATAATCCCACTAAGCTGTAGGGCTCAGGAACTTCAGCCTTGCTGTCCCCAGAACTAAGAATCCAATACCCAGCTGCTTTCTTCCCAAAGCAACTGACAATTTTCATTCATTTCAGGAATCTTTCTGAACCTGTCATGACCTATAGGCTTCACAAAGAGCTGGTCTCTGCTGCCAGTAAGTGTTTATGTTACTAATTAACTGTGTTGTCCTAGTTTCTTGATGTTTACTGTAATAAGCCTTGAAAATTGTTTGAGGGGAAGTGATTGAGGGCACAGAAACCTAAAACACATACACAAATTTTACTCGACTGCCAAATGAAAGTATTCTTGCTTGCTGTCTAACTCAAGAGTTCTATTATTTTTCATAATTAGTGTTACTTAAGTAGGCTTGAGAAAATTGGTTAACTTGAGGGTTGTGATGAATATAAAGACTTTATTTATATATGTATTCATTGCCTCTTCCATCAGAACAAGAACATTGGCTCACATTACCAGGGGACAGCAAAATGGTTACACGACAGTTGCCGTTTCAACTTCCTTCAGCATTTTGCCTGTTCAAATGCTTTTCTATTGTGTTGTGAACCATTGTTCTTAATCTGCTAGTGCCAGCATCAGATTTTCTAGATGAGAAAACTGAGGGAGAGGACGTTAGTACATAGGAAATAAGGCATATAGAATTACTCCCAAAAGTTGGCAATTAAAGAAGCATTGAAAGTTTTGGCTGAGGCCACTGTGTGAGTGCCCCTCTCCACCTCAACGTGGAGGTTCTGCATCATATTCTGTATCATATCCTGTGTGGTGTAGAGGAAAAAGATTCAAGGGACTTAACATCATAATGGGTCTTTGTTCAAACAAGGGAGCTTTGTTCTTTACTTCTGAGCTCTCAGTGATTTTAACAGGAATCCAGAGGCAACAGCACACTTCTTAGTACCACAAGGAAGGTGGATGGGAATAGGCTTCCAGCTGGAAGTTTATCTGTGAGACTTCAGGAACAACCTGCTGTGCCTGGAGTTCTGACTCCCTCTGAGACAATCTTCTCTTCTCATCCTTCTCTTCTTTTCTATCTTCTGTTTTCTACATCTTTTTAGACCTGTTTCTTTGTGTGTGTTTTTTTTTCTCTCTCTCTGCCTTTTTTCTTTCTCTCTCTGTGTCTTTGTCTTTGTTTCTGGGTCCTTAATTTTTATTGTATTTCAGTGCCTATTTATCTCTGTCTCTTTTCATCTCATTGATTATCTCTCTGTCTCTCTGTGTCTCTGGTTGTCTTTCTCCAAATCTGTGTGTGTGTGCATATATATGTGAGAATTTGCTCAATCCAGTTGCCCAGAAAGCCAAACCATTTTTCTTACCCTTCTCTCTCAGAGTCTGATAACCTGGATTACCGCCTAGGAGCTATTCACTCCCTGGTATATAAGCTACCAGAAAAGAACCGAGAGATGCTGGAACTTCTGATAAGACACTTGGTCAAGTAAGTAACTGCTGGATTTTCAGAAAAAGTTTCTATTAGACAACTGTCCCGTGTGGTTGGACTACACAGAAGCTTCCTCTCAGCTCTTTCAGCCCCAGCCCTTAAGTGCTTCCTTAGAAGGCTGAATGCTCTGTGAGGAAGGCTGTTTTGCCTTGACTCATGTACATATCCTCTTAGAGTCATCATGCATGTGGGTTGTCTCAGTTGAAAGGTAACAGCAAGGTAGATTGGGCTTTGCCGTCAGATGAGCCTGGTGTTGAATTGAAGCTCTCCAACTTGTTTGCTGTGTAATCTTAGGCAAACCTCTCTGAGTTTGTTTGCTCATCTGCACAATCCCTATAATGAAGGCCAGTTGTGTGGATTAGAATGAACACAGGTAAAATGCATGTCACATGAGAGGCTCTCAAGAAATGGGACTTTTTGTTAAGATTCTGGTCAACTTCTTGCCCTGGTGTGGCTGGCAGTAGCAGACAGCGGGATCCTGGAGAATAGTCCTGGTGACAGGCACTGAGATAAGCAGGTGAAAGGGGCACATGTGTCCCACAGTGGTGCTTCCTGGCCAGAGGATTTAATATTGTGAATCAAGATGAATTTACTTGGCTTAAAAAAAGGCAGAAAGCATTCTGTCCAGGAACTAGCAGACCTGGGCTCTAGTTTCATTTCTGCTTTCTGCTATTAGTTCATTTTGTGACCAGGGACAGGTCACTCTTAAGGCCTCTCTTGGTATGTTAAACAGTAAAAAAAAGTGAAAATAAGTTTAAAAAATTGTAATGTATTTTAAGTGTATATATTTAGCAAATGCAGTTGTCTGCATACTCAAAAGATGCAGTAATGATACATTTTTACCTCATTTGGAGAGGCTCTGAAACACCTCAACTTGAGGCCTTTAATGAAGGTGAGTTTCCAGGTTAATGACTCTTTTGGCCTCCCCCTGTAATAAATCCTGAGTGCTTTGCCTATCTGGACCTTGAGTTTTCCTATTATATGTGAGATCTCCAAGATCTGATTCAGCTCTGACTTTCAAAGACTGTTTTCTACACTTCTATAGCAAATGAATATTGTGGATACTGATGTAGATAATAAGCAGAATTAACAAGAGAGGATGGCTTTTATATTTATTGCCAGTGTTTGTAATTTGAGCTAATAGAGAACATTAAGAGGCTTCTGGTCTCCAAAAATTAGTTTGTGATAATCTCAGTAAATGTACAAAAATCAGCAAAGAAGCTATTTGCATGTTAATTTAAAGTTGCCCTGGAGGAGTCTTTGAGTCCAAGTTCCAGATCTGTCACAAATATGCTGTGTGACCTAGAGAAAGTTCCTTCCACTCTCTGGCCCACAAGTTTGTGCATCTATAACACGAAGGGACTGAAGCAGTTAATCTCAAAGGGTTTTTTCAGCTCTGACTTTCTGAGAGTCTCAACATGTGACAAGAGCCAAGGACTCAATTGAGGATGCCCTTGCTTAGTGAGCGTCAGGGTGCCTGCTTCTATCTGCCCAAAGGCTGGCTGCTTGGCTTAGTTTAAGAATCTTAGTCCTCAAAATCTTGAAATCAAAAGAAGACATGAACAAATAGATCACAGAAATAGAATGGCAAATACTCTTAAATATGTGGTAATATGCTGAAGCTCACTCATAGTAACAAAAACACAAACTAAACCTATACTGAGCTACCATTTATGGACAAATCCTAATGCTTATTAATGAGACTATGGGGAAACTGTCCTCCAATACATTTCTTGTGTTAATGCAGTACGGTTCCAGAAGAGGGGATTTGACAATACCTAACAAATCTAAACATTTGGTTATCCTTTGACCCAGCAAAACAGGGTAAAACAGGTTATATGATATTTGAGCTTTTTTTTCTTTCTTTTTTTAAGGCATATACTCTAAAGATACACCTCCACAAATACAAACAACACATGCACAAGGTTTCTCATTGCAGCACAATTTTCAAAAGCGAAAGATCGGAAACAACACAAATATCTGAAAATAGGGCACTAGTCGAGTAAATAAGGATGTATTAAACAATGTAGTATTATGCAGTAATTTAAGAAAAGAATGAGGAAGATCTCTATGAACTTTGTTTTGTAGTGATTTTCTGGGATATATTACAATTTTCCAGCACATAAAACAAGCAATAACATAAAAAATTTCAAGCTATAAAACAAGGTTTATAATTTGCTAGCTTTTATTTTGTAAGAAAAAAGAGGAAAATAAGAATATGTAAGAATACACACACGTTTAAAAAATTTTGTCAAATGAAGCATACACTAAGATAAATGTTAAAAAACTAATGACTCCAAAAGTTAAATGTAGAGTTGTCATACATCCAGCAATTCCACTCCCAGGTATATACCTAAGATAAATGAAAACATGTGTCCACACAAAATCTTGTACACAAATGTCCATAGCAGCATTATTTCATAGTTGTTGAAACGTGGAAACAACCCAAATGTCTGTTAACTAACGAATAGGTAAACAAAATGTGGTATACAGGCAATGGAATATTATTCAGCCATAAAAAGGATGAAGTACTGATACATGCCACAACATGGATAAACACCAAAAGCATTATGCTAAGTGAAAAAAACAAGACACAAAAGTACATATATGATTCCATTTATATGAAGTGTTCAGAATAGACAAAGCTATAGAGAAAGAAAGTAGATGAGTTGTTGGCAAGGTCTGGGAAGTGGGGGTGTGAGAAGTAATGGGGAGTAATTGATAATGAGTATGAGGTTTCTTTTTGGAATGATGAAAATGTCTGAAATTATATAAAGGGTGACAGTTGCACGGTTCCGTGAATATACTAAAAACCGTTTAATTTTAACCTTTAAAAAGGTGAATTTTATGATATGTAAAATATATTTCAATAAATGTGTTATAAAAATAAACTAATGAAAGTGGTTATTATAGTGGATAGGTGTGGTAAGTAGGGAGGAGGGGATAGGGATAAGAGCTAGATTCCTCTGGGTATACGTCCTTATATACTTATGACTATTAAGCCATATTAATGTTTTACATATCCAAAAAATAAAATTAAATCAAAAATTATGAACCATAAAACTGAACACCAATAAAAGCAAATGAATTTAATGAACCTAAGTGTTTATCAACTTGATAGCATAATTACAGAGAGAAAGCAATTATTTCAACTAACGTGTCAACACAGTCCTCTGACTCATCCTTAATGAGATGTACTCTAGAAACAAGAAAAGCAAAATTTTAAGCATCACTCAGTAGGTTTATTAATAGTAGTAATATAATTTAACTTGAAACACACACATACATCTTATAAAGATAAAGCAAAAAAGTAAATATGTTGAAAAACAAAGTGTTGGGGGCGGAGCAAGATGGCCGAATAGGAACAGCTCCAGTCTCCAACTCCCAGTGCGAGCGACACAGAAGACTGGTGATCTCTGCAGTTTCAACTGAGGTACTGGGTTCATCTCACTGGGGAGTGCTGGACAATCGGTGCTGGTCAGCTGCTGCAGCCCGACCAGCGAGAGCTGAAGCAGGGTGAGGCATTGCCTCACCTGGGAAGCGCAAGGGGGAAGGGAATCCCTTTTCCTAGCCAGGGGAACTGAGACACACAACACCTGGAAAATCGGGTAACTCCCACCCCAATACTGCGCTTTAAGCAAACAGGCACACCAGGAGATCATATCCTACACCTGGCCGGGAGGGTCCCACACCCACGGAGCCTCCCTCATTGCTAGCACAGCAGTCTGTGATCTACCAGCAAGGCAGCAGCGAGGCTGGGGGAGGGGCGCCCGCCATTGCTGAGGCTTAAGTAGGTAAACAAAGCTGCTGGGAAGCTCGAACTGGGTGGAGCTCACAGCAGCTCAAGGAAACCTGCCTGTCTCTGTAGACTCCACCTCTGGGGACAGGGCAATAATAAACACAGCCGAAACCTCTGCAGACGCAAACGACTCTGTCTGACAGCTTTGCAGAGAGCAGTGGATCTCCCAAAACGGAGGTTGAGATCTGAGAAGGGACAGACTCCCTGCTCAAGTGGGTCCCTGACCCCTGAGTAGCCTAACTGGGAGACATCCCCCACTAGGGGCAGTCTGACACCCCACACCTCACAGGGTGGAGTACACCCCTGAGAGGAAGCTTCCAAAGCAAGAATCAGACAGGTACACTCGCTGTTCAGAAATACTCTATCTTCTGCAGCCTCTGCTGCTAATACCCAGGCAAACAGGGTCTGGAGTGGACCTCAAGCAATCTCCAACAGACCTACAGCTGAGGGTCCTGACTGTTAGAAGGAAAACTATCAAACAGGAAGCACACCTACACCAAAACCCCATCAGTACATCACCATCATCAAAGACCAGAGGCAGATAAAACCACAAAGATGGGGAAAAAGCAGGGCTGAAAAGCTGGAAATTCAAAAAATAAGAGCGCATCTCCCCCGGCAAAGGAGCGCAGCTCATCGCCAGCAACGGATCAAAGCTGGACGGAGAATCACTTTGACGAGGTGAGAGAAGAAGGCTTCAGTCCATCAAATTTCTCAGAACTAAAGGAGGAATTACGTACCCAGTGCAAAGAAACTAAAAATCTTGAAAAAAAGGTGGAAGAATTGATGGCTAGAGTAATTAATGCAGAGAAGGTCGTAAACGAAATGAAAGAGATGAAAACCATGACACGAGAAATACGTGACAAATGCACAAGTTTCAGAAACCGACTCGATCAACTGGAAGAAAGAGTATCTGCGATTGAGGATCAAATGAATGAAATGAAGTGAGAAGAGAAACCAAAAGAAAAAAGAAGAAAAAGAAATGAACAAAGCCTGCAAGAAGTATGGGATTATGTAAAAAGACCAAATCTACGTCTGATTGGGGTGCCTGAAAGTGAGGGGGAAAATGGAACCAAGTTGGAAAACACTCTTCAGGATATCATCCAGGAGAACTTCCCCAACCTAGTAGTGCAGGCCAACATTCAAATCCAGGAAATACAGAGATCGCCACAAAGATACTCCTCGAGAAGAGCAACTCCAA